ATCACGCGCGCGCAGCACCGGCCCCCTTCCAACCCCACGACTCGGCCAACTCGCGACTCGCTAGTCAACTCACGAGTCACGACCCGTTCGACCCATGTTTTTATTTTTCTTCGTTTTTTCTCGTTTTTGCTCAGCTTTTCGAGCCCTATATATTGGGATGACCCCCAACATTAGAGAATAATCTCCAATATCATTTTTTCGTTTTCTCCTTCTCCTAAACTTAGATTTTGATCGTTGTTTTTGCTCAACTTTTCTTCTTTATTTTTTTTGAATTAAGCTTGTTCATTGGATTCAACTCTTGGTTTTTTACTAATCTTAAGTTTTTCTTTTCATTTCATCGATGAATATGATTGCTTGGGTTAATTTCATTGATTTTATTGAATTCCATATGAGTAGCTAATTCGTTTCGCTAGGGATAGGGGATGATGACGATGATGTTTAGAATTTGATTGTGATTACCATGCTTGTTGATTGTTCAGTTTATGTGAGTTATTTTTAACTAAGGTTTACAATTATCGTGCATTGAATGTTGAATATTGTCGAAGAGTGACACTTCGATTTGCAATTGATTTCCGATTGAATATTATTCGTTCTTGTATGATGTTTTTTAATCTAATGGACCAATAGATCAACTATCGTCTAGGATAATTTAATCGACTCTTAAAACCGAAAGGAGAGGAGTTGATCGATCTTGGCTCGTATGAAATAGGCTTGTTCGGAAATGTATTGTCTATGTGTTGTGTGATTTCTGTGATTTACCGTCTATGTTACCCTCTTGTTACGAAGAGTTATTGAGGAATAATCTCTAGACGTTAAGTTATTCGAATCATTTAACTGAATGATCTTAGCTTGATATTTGCATTGGTTTGAGAATCATCATCCCCGACTCCTTAGCTTCTTATCATCGTTTGATTTTCGTCTTTGCATTTAAGTTCGATTAGTTTTGTTAAGCTTCCGTAATTGATAATTAAAACCACAATTTTGATTAGAGTGTTTACGTTTATTTTCTCTTTTTTGTGTTAGAATAATCGCACAAGTATATCCGGCTGACCTTCCTTGAGATCGACCCGAGGAACGAATTTTTCGATTCGGTACTCGGTAAAAATTATATTTTGCTGCAACAAAATTGGCGTCGTTGCCGGGGAAGGTTTAGGATTAAAATTGTGCGCCTATTCACTTTCTTTTCCGTGTTTCTATCATTTCTTGTGATTATTTAATTTCGTATTTTTCTTTGTTTCTCTTTGTTTTCTACTTTGTCTACCGTTGGCATATAACTTCTCTTTGACAGAAAGAAACGAGGCAGGGGATAGTCACATTACCATATGAGCTCCTCCTCACAGAAAACAACCCTACAAAAAAACTTCCAAGCAATTAAGACAAAAACTCCAAAAAGGACACTAAACTGCTCCATAGAAAGTAAAAAGGTCCACAAAGAAGCCTAAAAAATAAGGGGAAAAAAAAGCAAAACAAAAGAAAACAACAAATTAGCAAAAACCAAACTAAATATAAACTAGAGCCCTCCCCGGCAACCTAAACAAGCTTCGCCAACGACACCATCTGAGCCAGCAAATCGAAGTCAGACACACAAAGAAGAACAATACAACAACCCAAGCAGATCCATAAACTCTTGACTCTGAGATGACAAGGGCTAACCAAATATGACACCTTCGCACCCGATAATATCCTTCAAAGCGGCCAAACTCGAGACAATGATAGGACGAGAAAATGCCGTCATCACCACTCCCTCAACTGCGACAACTCGACCTTCGACCAAACGGGCTCCGTTAAGATCTCACAGGCACGAAATGAGTGCGGCGATGGAGTCATCGTCGGCAATGGCAAGGCCGAAGTGGCAGGCTGTGGAGGGGGGAGGCAAGGCTGATTATCCTTGTTGCTATTAATTTGCTGTTGTGGACGCCGGGCTCGATCGAGATCTTGGCAGGGAAGTTAGGTGGATCGTGAGGAAGAAGAAGATTGGAGAGGAAGACTTTTGATAGAGAGAAACGTTATCTTTTTGATAAATTTGCGTTGAGATGTGTTCTTTCATTTCATTTCAGAGTTGGATAAGCATCCAATTTGTTTGAGAGTTTTAACTGAGAGTTGGATTCTCAAGAAAAAAGAATATCTCATCTCTTAAAGTTTCATATACACTTTTGTAGATAATTTCTACGAACCAAGACACTTTTAGAGATATTAAAGGGAAGACACGCGGATCCCTACAGCAAATCAACGAAAATGGTGATTGTCACATACCCTGTAATTGGTCTCTCTCATTCGTCGCTTGTTAAGAAAAAAATTAAGGTAATTTTCAAAGTTTTTTACAAATCAAAATTTGTACCATTACGTGATTTTAAAATGCCAATCGTTATAATTGCTACGTAAGCCAACGAGATTAGTATTTATTCCATAAATTCTTGTTTAATTTCCAATGCATATCACCCAATACATACTATCACATAGTGTGGGCAGAACTTAGGAAAGAAATCACTGCCTATAAGCCCTGTTTTGCCTTAGGCCAGGTGGCTTCGGGCTAACCTGGCCTGCCCACCCATTTTTGACAGTTCTCACACACTATTAGTGCACTGCGCACCCAACATCATGCAGAAGACAAACAAGTCCGCCATTAAAAACACAGAAGACTATCTACATATTCTCCATAATCACAGCAAGATTGTCCACAGGAAGTCATAATATATAAATATCTATGAGGCTCAATTTAAACAAATAAGTTTCAGGAAGAATACAACACATTTTAGCAAAGATATCACGGATAACTGAATTTGCATTTTAATTAATCAGAAACAGAAGCTCAGCAGGCCTCATGGCATGAAGAAACTAATCTTCCTGCAACATATTGCAGATCGCTCGTGAAACAGAATCCGGATGGTTGAGTATGAAAATGTAAAAATTAGAAATAAAAATAGAAAATAAATCAATTAGAGACCACAGATGCTAATGGTGCAGATTAAAACTTTCTGTCAATAGTGTTTCACAAAACTTAGAAAGGTCTAATTTGATGTGTGCTCGTGCAAATAAGCACACTTCAATCCGTGTAGAAGTGCTTTAGCCACATATGTAGCAGGCACAGTATCTCCTACTCCCTCGAAATAATGCAGATAGTATCATCAAGGAATTCTTAATAACAAGGATTCAAAAAAAAAAAAAAACATAGAATTTCGATGAATCATGACAAAAATAGATTGAAATGTGGGGGGCACATAAATACTAGAAACATAAGTATAGAACACGTAAATCTTACTATTTTCTTTTTCTCATCACAAAAAAAATTGCAAACAATATATTATACCAAACTCACAGCTATGCAAAATATAATATTACAGAACCTAACACGTACAATGGGAACGATAACTAAATCAGTAGTGTCATTTCTAGAAGCAACCCAAATTCATAATCGTGCAAAACATTGGAAATTGGCTCAGCAGTTACGAAGTACACACTCACAACATGAGTAGAAAACACGCATAGATATTTTGACACATATACAACATTGTTAAACAAATCCAACACATTCATTCGAACAAATCCAAACAAATTGAAATGACTATTCTCACGGGAACAACAGACTTCTAAACCGCAAATACAATAAGACACAACTGATGAGATTAATACTGAATTTATATGTTAACCACCGTTCATACATTCTAAAACCAATTCAACATCGAAAAGCTATAAAGTTTAAGAAAGACGGAGAAAATCCTAACATAATATTAGTATCAACGAAATTTAAAAACATAATGCCTTACACCTCACCACCATAATGGGCACCCAAAGGAAACGAGACTATCTCTCGCACGGGAGGGTGCTCGACCAACGAGACTTCCACCGCGTACCCACCAACCGGCATCTTCAAATCACGCAAGACACTGAAAGCTTCCGCCAAACGGCCCTTTGCCACATCATCAGCCACCGCACAGTAAGGAATCCATTTATCCGGACGGTAATCCTCTCCAATCTCGACTCCTTCCTTTCTCAAGGCATCGCATAACTGTGTGTGGAATTGGAGGAGTGACAGAGATGGAGTGGGGCCCAGAAAGAGAACATTGTTATCGTTCGGGAGGCTTCCTATCGAGGAAAAAGATAAATGCAAAGGTTCTTGCTTTGAAGTGAGATTCTTTAGGGCATTCTCTATTTTAGCTGTGTCGGCCAGTAAGGTAGAGAATAAGGTAATGTGGGGCCGCGATTCGATCTCGATTAACTGAGTGCTTATCTGGCGTCGAGCTAACACGTTCCATGCCTTTAAAACTTGGTTCTCGAGGGCCGGGTCGAAGTAAAGCTCGATTGCGTAGGCTTGAGTCATTTGTTTTTCAGAAAAAACCGGCAAGGATGGCTGGAAAAATGACAAAATTGCGGAGTAAGAGAAGGAATATAATCAGACAAGATGAGCCAAGAAACAAAACAATGCATCAATTGCAATGAGAAAAAAGAGGACAAAACTGTAATACTGACATAAAAAAATTCGTACACTACGAGAATTGAATGGGAAGAAAACAAAAAACACAATCATCTAATAGAGACTACAATCAATAAAACACGAAGATGCAGAAATGCAACCCAATTATTGGGAACAAATGACTAAAAACATTTTTCTTCCCAGGAATAAAAGCATTAGTTAAGATCTATAAATTGCAGCATACCCAATTGAAATCGGAGAGGACTCGGACAGCAGCATAAATTAAAGCTTGAATAGAACAACAAAAATGCCGTAAAGAAATGAACTTTAATTGTAAGAAGCACAATTGCCACATACCCAATTGAAATCGGAGAGGACTCGGACAGAGCAACCGGAAAACGATGGTCAATTCCGTGAAATTGTTGACACAGATGGAACTATAATGGCAAGAACTTGTAAAGACGGGACAAAAGTGAAAGCTAAGAGCGAGAGGATATTAATGTGTGCTCATGCGAGGAAAAACTCGGTTTAGCTGTTAAAAAACAGATCAAATTCGATACGGGAAAATAGAGTAATCACTATTTATATATTAATTCAAAACACATGCAACTTATGTGGTAGATTCTCACAGTTCAGATGCTGATATGGTAAAAATCAATGTAACAACTTGCTTTCTTACTAGTATCAGAGTAAATTTCACAAATTCTTTTCTAAAAGTACTTATAAATTTACGAAATCAAGACTCTCTCCCAATGACAAACCGTGAGAGTAAGAGTGCCCAAAATGAACAATATCACACTACGGGTTGGTTGGGCTGTTACAGTTGGTATCAGAGCCAGTACCCGAACCATGTGCCAACGAGGACGCTGGGCCCCCAAGGGGGGTGGATCCAAATATCCCACATCGGTACTGAAGGAGAACGAAGCATGCCTTATAAGTGGTTGTGGATACCTTTACTAGTGTGACGCGTTTTGGTGAGCTAGCTCCCAAAGACAAAACCTTGAGGGTGAGAGTGCCCAAAGCGGACAATATCATACTACGGTTTGGATGGGCTGTTACAATCAATGCTTCATAATTTTGTTTAAATATCCATTTTTGCTTTGGAGTTAGATTTTGTGTTAGACTATTAGATATAAATAACTTTTTCAAATTTGGCAAGTGTATATTTAATTTTGTTATTTTTTTTTTCTTATTACACATTTTCTTCTTAGTTTGGGCAAGTAGCAATCTTACCATATTATATTTTTTTCTCATTTTTCTTTTATAAATTACGATTTACATATCAATTTCTGCATTGTCTATTCCTTTTTTTCATCAAATAGTCCATCAAAACTTTTAAATAAAAAATTTATTTTAGCATTAGTTGTTATCATATATTTCTTTAACTCATTCTACTAGTAAAAACTTGAAAGA